GATGGATGATGGATGGATGGTGCTGGTACCTCACTCCCCCTTCCCTCTGTTCCCCTGCAGGTGCCATCTCAGTGCAGGACTCCAGCAGCCTGGACTTCGAGGCCAGCCCCCGGCTGCGCCTGGTGATCCAGGCAGAGACTGCAGCTTCCTTTGGCTTTATGGCCATCAACCTCAACCTCCAGGATGTGAACGACAACCTGCCCCGCTTCCAGCTGCAGAACTACGTGGCATTCATCTGGGAGTCACAGAGCTATGACTCACCTGTCATCCAGGTATGGCAGGGCACAAACAGGGACACCCGAGCCCTGGCCTGGCTGGGGTTATGGGATGGGGGCTGCATGGGCCTGGGGCTGGCACCAGCACACAAGTCCTGCCTCAGGGGCTCCACAGCTGCATCTCATGTGGCTTTGCAGGTGCTGGCAGATGACCTGGACCAGGGAGCAAATGGGCAGGTGACTTATGCCATCAACCAGTCCCTGCCAATGCCGGGCTTGTACCACATTGACCCTCAGACTGGCACCATTACCACTGCTGCCATCCTGGACAGAGAGATCTGGTCCCAGACGCGGTGAGTGCAGCCAAGCTGGGGGAGGCCAGGACAGGGACAGAGGTGTGGAGCACAGCCCCGGGGCATGGGGAGCACTGTTCTTGGTGCCCCCAAAGCTGTCCCAGTCTGGCTGTGAAACGCTCTATCAGGCAGCACAGCTGAGGGTCAGTGGGAGTGAAGGACACAGGAGCCAGATGGCCAAGATGAGCCCACATAGCTCAGTCAGGTCTCTCCAGAGCTGAGGAGATTGTGAGAGGGCCCTAGGTTCATCCATTCCCCTTCCTGCCTCCTTAATCCACACTGCATCTGCTCAATTTCTTCCACTTCCAAGCACAGGACCTTTGTGTCCTGCCACATGGCTCCAGACCCCTGCACTATCCCCCCCAGATGTCCCCTTGCATCCAGACAGGTCCTCTGGGCCCCTCGCCATATGTGCACACTCTGGACATGACCATCCACACGTATGTCACATGCTGGCAAACACCCCGCCGTGGATCTGAGGCTTCTCCTGCCCTTCCCCTCACACCTTGCTCCGATGAGGACCCCCAGTTCGTGTTCTCCCCCTCCACAGGTGCCCTCATGGCTGGGGGTTCCTCTGCCCTCTTCCCCGTGGGGGGAGTCTGGGGTATTCCTCCATCCCCACACCCCTCACCGTTCCAGAGAGGCTCCAGGTGTTCCCCAGCAGCCAGAGAGCCCCAGACCCCTGCCTGCACCCCGCAAGGTGCTCTGCCTGCGCCCACACACCTTCCAGACTTCAACACATGCCTTAGGTGTGCAAAAACCTGCTGCTGTGCCCCGCCGTGCTGTCCATGTACCACACCACTGCCCCACATGTGCTCTCCAAATCACGGAACCACTGAGGTTGGAAACGACATCTGAGAGTGCCGAGTCCAGCCTGTGACTGGTCAGCACCTTCTCAGCTAGACTGGAGCACTGAGTGCTGCATGCAGTCTTTCCCTAAACACCTCCAGAGGATGCCCTGCACAGATCCATCACCCCAGGGTCTGAGCTGCTGTGCATTTCCCTCCACACACACACACACACTCTCCAGCCCTGTGCACACCTGCAGTTCATGTCCCAGGTGTGATGCAGGTGCAAGTGCATATCCCAGTACATGGGTGAGGTGCTCCCTCACGTGTGTGGACACACATCTGACGTCATGCCTGCCCACAGCCTGGTGGTGACAGCGATGGACCGAGGAACGCCCCCGCTGATGGGCTCGGCCACGCTGACCGTGGTGGTGATGGACATCAACGACAACAGCCCCACCATCCCGGTGCCCTGGGAGATCCGTGTCCCTGAGAGTGAGTGCCGGAGCACTGAGGGCCAGCGCTGGGGTGCCATGGGGTGGGGAGGAGCCCCAGGGAGGCCAGGCCAGTCCCTGTCAGGACAGTGGATCACACTGACCTGCTGAAGCCCCCCGAGCTCTCAAGCATGACCCTTGTGCTGCTGCTGTGTCCTGGGGGAGCAGCCTGAATTACCAACTCATCCCTGACCCCTGCCCCATGTCTGGGACTCTGGCTGCAGACATTGCCTTGCCTGCTCACCGTCCTCAGCCAGTACTCCCTGTGCCCATGCCATACCTCCACCTGTCCTGCCAAGCCACCGAGACCTTCGTCTTCCTCCCTCATCCCCCTCTCCCAAGGCATCTTCCCCTCTTCCTGGTGCTCAGGCTCTGGACTGAGCTGGTTTCCCACCAGGTGAGCCAGGTATGCAGGGCTGGGCTGGGTGTGCTCACTCACGTGTCTGCTCCCCACAGACACACTGCTGGGCACCCAGATAGCCCAGCTGACCGGGAACGACGTGGACTCGGGCCCGGCCCTGTCCTACACGCTGCTGCTGGAGGGGGACGTGGCAGACACCTTCGGGGTGCTGCGCTAC